TGGACATTAGTGTTGTCACTTATTTTATAGTATACTATTTTTATCAAATGTAAAACTTCTTGTCAATTCCTAACATATTAATTTGTTAAAAAATTAATTCAATGTCTTTTTACATTAKTAAATAATASTAAAMATTTTGTTTKTGAGGTTCAATAAATGTTGACACCCCCCGAGAAATCAACCAAAATACGCCACTGATAATGTATGTATGATGGATAATTAATAAACCAAATATAATAAAATAATAATTAATAAAATACATAATCGTAAAAAATATTAACCTTATTGTGATTTTAAATTAAATATAATGYAGATTTTTACATTGCTTTATGGTCTCGTTATTCGCGGTTTTGATTTCCACGTAACTTTGCTGGAACGTAACCCCCGTGGATAACAAGGGATTACTATATACAAATTATACCCTTATTGCAATAACATTTTTTTTTTGTTTTGCTTATTTGTAATGTAGTTTCATTATAAAACAAATTTAGTCAGTAAATTGACTTAAGTTTCCCCTGACTTTTGAGAAATATGCCTATTTACTATTTAGTAATTTTTGATTTAAAAAATAGGTTCATCACCCTTTAAAACTGTTTAGAAATTCCCACTGAATATTATACTTTTGATTTTTGTATCTAAAAAATACAATTTATTACCAAAAACTACCTATTTTTCATGATCATTTTTCGTATTTACTACTCCAAAAGATAGATAATGGTACACACAAAAAAAACCACATACACTTCATTGTAAAATAAATTAAAATGTATTGCTCTGCAAAATCTAAAAATACTTAAATACATTATTGATAGTGGTTTTAATATATACCTACTCYAAAATATCGCACAACAAATAGTGAGGAAATAAAAATGGTTTCTTTTTTTKGAATCCCAAATCACTGAAGTAAGAACGATGGATGCATAAAAGAGAAACGAACGACTGACGGTGACAAATCGTGATGCAAAACCAACAGTTTTTATTCCACGTTACGTCAAACACCAGTAATATATTATAACTCGACATGTAATAAAATAATATTTTGTAATAAAGAGGTATAATAATATTATGTGATACAATTGAACACAATCATAATAATATTATATTATAATATAAAGCCGAAAAATGTACAAATCGAATACGCGTAGGATAAACAGTTAACACCTATTACATTTACACATATATAATTGTGAATAGCTTTAAAATATTAGATAATATATTATTAAAATTTAATATAATTCTTAATCAGAAGTAAGTTTATTTTACGAAACGTGTTATACCTTATATTATACACACAATATAATAATATCATAAAAGGTTTTTGTGAAAGCGCGTGGAAATTCAAAAATATTATTATTATCACACGACCGAGACGCGCAACGGCGCAACAAGTATACATAGTATATGGATACATATATAATAATATTAAACGATACAGAAATAGTATGAAAAGTATCGGTCCACGACGAAGGAAAGAGCGCAACAGGGCAGTAAAAAAAATTCGAGATGACAGATAAAAAAAATAAAATAAAAAATATACTTGATGATAATAAAAAAAAAATTTACACACGACTGAGTACGTATGACAATGTATAATATTATTATTGTATAGGTACATTATACTCACCGTAGTGTAACAGAGACGGCAGGTGGTGGTGGTGGTGGTTGCGGTGGTTGCGGCGGTTGCGGCGGTGGCGACGGCAGCGACGTGCGTCTCTGACGGAGTCGCCCGACGGTGTGCAGTGCGCGTATACTGCTGTAGCTACACAGGGATGTATTATGCCGTCGTAAAAAAAGAAAAAAGGCGGACGATATGGTTTACGTGCGTCGGGTGTGAGCGGACACGTACATGTATATATACAATATTATGATGTATTAGGTCCGCGAGCGCGCGCGCGTGCGCGTGTGTGGGTGTGTGGGTGTGTGGGTGTGTGGGTGTGTGTGGGTGTGTGGGTGTACAATAAAGTGCGTGTGTTGTGCGCATGGGAGCCGGTGAACGCACAGTGACGCGACTTTGCGGGGGTGTCTCTGCCAGTAGTCGACAGACGGGTGCAGAGCCCGGGGACCGTGCGCGTACGTCTGACTTCGTGCTTAAACGCAGCCAAGCCGGACGATCATTGAGGGCACTGTATAAAGCTGGCACGGTGTACGGCTATACGCTGTAGGTATATATAGCGATTTAATGCCACGCGCACCGAACACTTTGCCCGCCACCCCACCACCCCGACGACCGTGGCGCTCTGCCGAAAACGGCGGCCGCCCATCAACAGTCGGCATATAACAGTCGTATACAGTCCGTATAGTCGTCACCGCCGATCCCATCCCTCATTCATTCCCATCCCTTATCCATTCCCATCCCTCATTCTGTCTCTCTCACACACACACATATATATAATGCATGACGTGAGTACCTAGCTCGACTCTCGGCGCACATCACTTTTCTTCCTTTCAACTTTTTCCGCGTCTTCTTCGTCCACCTTGT